CCTTCCTTCCTTTCTTCCTGAGAGGACTGATCACTCAAGGGTAAAGTGCTTTCCCGTGCAGCACATTGAGTCTGATCCAGAACTATGTGTTGAGGCATACACTCCTAACTCCAGCCCTGGGGAGGTGGAGACAGTGGGTTACCTGGGACTTACTGGTCAATCTGTGAAGATGAATCAGTGAATTCCAAGTTCAGTGAGAGACTGTGTCTCAAAATACAAGGCAGAGAGTTACAGGATGACACCCATAGGTGCCCTGTGGAGCGCACACATACAAAGAAAGCCCAGGTCAGGAATACTATCAGTCCTAGCATAACCCTGGATGACGGAGGCTTGATGAGGTAAGTCACCAAGAAACTCCACATGGTTTGGGGCAAAGCATCCTTCTGGGTACCCCGAAAAAAGAGCCGGGAGGTAATTGGCCTCTTCCCTCAAAGCCTGAATGGCAGGTGTTTTCAGATAAAGATGCTGAGTTTGAAATTTCACACTTCTTGGGGGTCTCAAGAATCATTGAGAATTATCCGCAGCAAGACATCTGGCTGGCTGCCTGTCTTACATCAGAGACAAAGCTATGACTTCTTCCGGTACCCGGGTCGCTCCCCCAGACCCCCCATGGAACTCGAGGAGACTGTGTGGTCCCCAAAACAACATTTTCTTCATTTAGGCCCTTTAAGCACTTGGGAGGCAGAGGCAGGCGGATTTCTGAGTTCGAGGCCAGCCTGGTCTACAGAGTGAGTTCCAGGACAGCCAGGACTACACAGAGAAACCCTGTCTCGAAAAACCAAAAAAAAAAAAAAGAACCCTAACTGGGCAGGGACAGGGAGGTGGGAGGGGCAGGGAGGTGGGCGGGGTGATGGGCGGGGCGGAGCCATGGGCAGAGCAAGGTCTCTTTGGCATCTTTATCTCTCCCCTTACCCCACTGCATAAATCCACCCCAAGCCAGTGACATTTGCACAGCTCTTTTCCTCGGGTCTCCGTAATCCCTTCAGAATATTAAGGCCGCGTTCCTTTATCTTTGGTTACATTAACTTCAATTTTCCTTATGAGTAAGTATTTGGCTAAAAATTAATATAGTGAAGTTGAAAAGAATCTTAAGATAGGAAAAAGACTAATTTCATCTCGGACTGCTCAGATCCCCGAGTACACCGGGGTTAATGTAATTAACTTACAATTTGAGCCTGGGTTGTGTACATACACCAAATCTCCCCACTGGAAACCAGATTAGATTTTATTGCTCCATATATCCTGCTCCTCTATGCTGAGCCTCCAATATACTTCCCTCGATGACTTCGAGGCTCCGCTCCACAATGAAAATGCAGAACCATCTGGTCCTGAGCCTGCGCCGTTTATTTAAAGATTTAATTAAATACTGTAAATGGAAAGCTTCCCTGAATTAACATTTTAAATGTGACTTATTGCAGGTTTGATATTGTCTTAATGCCAGCCTGGGAAACTCCACCGCAAGTTGTTGACGTTCAAATTGAATTCATTTGGGTGGCTCCGGGGGGACCCATTAATTAATCTAAACAACTAATGGGGATTGGTTCTGACTTTTGATGAAGATTATTTACTGAGACAATTTGCGATGAATAAAGAGTCACAGTAGGCAAATGCTTAATTGAATTCAAAAAAGTCTCATTGTGCTTTAATATCAGGGATGCGGGCGTGTGAGTAAGCTTTGAAATGCAGGAGTAGGGCGAGAGCCTCAATCTCTTACCCCAGCTAATAACAGAGCGAATGGGTAATTACATCCGCCGGGTAACGTGCTCCTCCACAGGACAACAGGTCTGCCTGGCTAATCACTTCCTGGGGAAGAAGAGTCTGAAAGCACAAATGAAGACAGAATCCTGCCCTTCATCCTAAGGCTAGGTCCTAGGAAGCCCCAGGAAGCCGAGAAGCAGCCTCCGCAGCAGCAGCAGCAACCGCTGTCCTTTCCCCGCCCCTCCTCTACCCTTCAGGGTCCGCCCACCTGGGGAAGAGCCTCTCCTCCCGCCCCAGCTCCCTCCCGGGTACGCTGCTGTCAAACTCTCCAGGAGTTCTGATGAAATTCCACCTGGATTAAGCCGGAATGAACTTTCCAGTCTATCTTCTCATTTCATCTTCTGGGTCAGCAGCTCGGGTCAGAACTCTGCTTGAAGGAAAATGGAAGTTTCTAGAAGAAGCACACATACCCAGTCTGTGGTCTGTGCTAGCATGCAGCACAACACGAAATAGTGAACTTACCCAAAAGATCAGAAAGATAGTTTTTGAAGGAAAAAATTTTGTAACTCCGTTGCATAGTTCTCAGCGTGAACTTTGTATGTCATGGCCATGTCAAAAAGCTGGCCATGCTTGGCACAGGGAAAAATCTCTTCACAGAACCAGCATGGCCCAGGCAGAAGTCTATCCCCCTAGCATCCTGGCCTCTGAATCCTGTCCTCCAGGTCCAGAGAAGTCCGTGCCTCATGTGGTAGCCTCAGACTGGAGACTCCCCATGCCTCTCCATCCACCTCCACCCTCCCTGCCACCAGCTCCTGGCCACCAGTCTGCAGTCTGCTAGATTCCCAGAGGCACAGAGTCCTACTCACGTTTCTATAGCCCTGATAAAACACCAAGACAACCTAGAGATGGAGAGATATAATTGGGCCTTATGATTCCAGAGAGTTCGGGTCCATAATGATTAGGTCAGCTTTCCAACAGCTGCAGATATGGCAGCTGGAGGGGGAACTTGCGAGCTTACTAGAATGGCCCAAAGTTTCTAAGACTCCATCCCTGGTGACACACCTCCTCCAGCAAGGCCACACCTCCTAATCCTCTCCAAATAGCTACCAACTAGGGACCAGATCTGCAAACACATGAGCCTATTGGGGACATTCTTATTCAAACTGCCACAGCTGGGTTCTGGTTTCCATGAGTGTAACAGCACTGCCCTGGTTGGACCTCTCTCTCCCTTTCTGTTTCTCTACTTTCTACCTCTGCCTCCTGTTTCTCTGCCTCTCTATCTTTATCATCGACAGTGTGTCTTTCTCTCTCTCTGTTTTTCTGACTCTCTGTCTTTCATATCATCTCCAGGTGTCTCTGTCTCTCTGTCTCTCTGTCTCTCTGTCTCTCTCTCTCTCTCTCTCTCTCTCTCCCTTTCTCTATTACACTGATCTGTGTCCATCCTCTCCATCCCCCCTTCTCTCACACCACAGTTGGACGTAACTGGAGAAAGGACACACACTGGGGACACTTGTTCCATGAAGGTGCACCATCTGAACCCCTAAACACTGCTATATAAGGCAGTAATTTGCCCTATGCTATGATTAACATAAGTTGTCAGCCTGGCAGGGTACAGGGTCACCAGGGAATAAACCCTCTGGGCATATCTGTGAGGGAGTTTCTAGACTGGCTTAACTGACATGGGAGGCTCACCCTGGATGTAGGTGCCACCGTGCCAAGGGGTGTGGTCCTGGACTGAATAAAAGGGGGAAGGGCACCAGCCTTCATCTGTCTCTTCTTCCTGCCAAGGATGGGTGGATACCATGTAACCAGCCACCTCACATTTTGCCTCTGTAACTTCCTTTCTATGATGGACTGTATCCATCCAAGCTGTGAGCTGAAATAAATGCTTTCTCCCTCAAGTTCCTTCTTGTCAGATGCTGTGTCACAGTGACAGTGACATATCTGTCTGTCCCAGTAATTAGTCTGAAGGGCTCTCTGTGGTTTTAATAGGTTAAAGCCCAAGAAAGCCACCAGGACTCAGGCAGGTGCACTGGGGAACCAGCCCAAGGCCGTTGAGTTAAAGTCAGAGATCTGTCTGCTTCTCTCTGCAGCTCCTCCAATAACCATGGCCCCTGAGAAGCTCCTGATTCTTCCCCACAGACGTGTTCACACACAGATGACTGGATGTGTGTTTTCTGCTTCCTTATTCTTTACCCACTTAGGGTTTTGCCATGTTCACAGTTTCTGTGCTTGTTTTTCTCACTCCGTAATGAATCTTGGAAACTTCATTTAGACGTAGGATGTTCGAGCATGTTCGAGCGGACTCAGACGTTAGTGTGCTGCAGACCTTATTCAGTTTGCTTTGATACAAAGTCTCCTGAAGTGGAAACTTCTAGTTTCTTTGGGAAGTTAGTTATGTCAGATGATGCTTTGCTGGGGCACACAGGTGAAAGGATGTCTTGCTAAAGCAGACAAGTGAAAGGACACTTGGTGAAGGAGTATAAAGATGACCCCACATGTGGGACTGCATAAGGGTATCCTGGGTCATGGTTGAGCAGGTACTTAGAACCCCGAGATTCTCTGTGGAATTCCTCATGAGAACCGGCAGGAGTTCGGTCCCTCCCATCACCTAGGATCCTGAAAAACAGTCACAGATCTCCATAGAGTCACCCAGGCGATAGGCCTCAGGCCTTAGAGATTTACATACTAATGAAGGCCAGAGGGCAGAGCAAATTAAACATTTCTCCCCCCAGATCCTCCCCTAATCCTCCCCCTTTCTCCCTCCCTATATAACTCGGGATGGCCCTGAGTTTTTGGGGGATACGCCTAGATCCATCTATTATCCGTCATGTCAATAAACCTTTTTGGAACCAAGGACTTCCTCGTGTTACTGAGGCCTGCCGCCGCCAAGGCCCTCAGGCCGCTGGAACCGTAAGATCTCCCTCCCTGATGTGGGACCCGCCACGGCGGCGGGCTTGCGCCGCTGTGGCGGCCTTTTTTAAATTTTCCCCACACCCACAGACAGCGGGAGACGAGCACTGAGCAATGGTTGGTTTGCTCTGCCTCTCTTTTCTTCAGTTACACTGCCATTGAGAGAAGCTCACCCAAGAACTGCTGGGAAGTTCCTCCCCAGCCTTACCTCAGGACGGTTGTCGAGCCTAAAGGTTCCTTCAGGATTGAACTACAGCTACTTGGTGTCTGTCTGCTGAAGGGACAGGTGTGTAGCTACCAGTTCATGTGTGCTGTCTGCCTGCCTAGAGGACATTTTTGCTTCAGTTCAAGTGTTCCCTCTCTTCCCCATTTGTCCTGACTGGTCTTGTGTCAACTTGACACAAGCTAGAGTTATCTGAAAGGAGGGAACCTCAACTGAGAAAAGACCTCTATAAGATTCAGCAGTAGGACATCTTCTTAATTAATGATTAATGGGGAGGGCCCAGCCCATTTGGATGGAGATACCCCTGGGCTGGCGGTCCTGGGTTCTATAAAAAAGCAAGCCAGTAAGCAGCACCCCTCCATGGCCACTGCATCAGCTCCAGCATTCAGGTTCCTGCCCTGCTTGAGTTCCCGTCCTGACTTCCTTTGGTGATGAACAGCAGTGTAGAAGTGTAAGCCGAATAAACCCTTTCCTCCCCATGTTTCTTTGGTGACGCTGTCTCATCGCAGCAATAGTGACCCTAAGACACTGCTCATTCCTTTTTATCGTGTGAGCTGACCACTTTGCCTACCTGCCTTTTTAAAACATTATTTGTTTGCTTGCTTGCTTTTTATACAGAGTATCTGGCCCAGCCTACCCTAGAACTCCAAAACTATCCAAGACTGACCTTAAACTTCAGTTCTTCCTGCCTCTTACACTCAAGGGCTGAGGTTTCAGGTGTTCTCTAGCCCTGCTGGAGCCCAGTGGGGTTTAGTGCTTCTTTCTCTTCTCCGTTAAGTCCCCTGCGGCCAGAAATAAGACATGAATTTATGAAGGAAAGCCCTTCACTGGCAGAGCCACTTTGTAACAGGACATTGGTCATACTGTCTCCTTTCCACTGATGTAGGCCTGACTTTCATGAAGTTTCTCCCTTGGGAACACCAACACCTGTCCCTGGGAGAGGGGCCAGGACACATAGCAAGAGACCTTTTGTGGGGAGGGAGTCTCTAAATCCTCTCTTGAGAGCAGAGGGTCCACCAGAACCAACACCAGCTATCTGCATCTGTCAAGATTCAGAGAGAAGGTCTGTACCCCCAAGAGGGCTCAGCAGCCAAGTCCACTTGAAGTTCTTGGCAAGGACGACGACTCACGTTGGGTCTCCGGCACCCACATCAGGTAACTCACAGTCACCTTTAACTTCAGTGCCAGGGAATCAGACACCTTCTTCTTGCCTCTGTGGGGAGCTGCATGCATGTACACACAGACATACACGTAAATAAAACATAAAAAATAAAAATCTTGGGACTGGAGAGATGGCTCAGCGGTTAAAAGCACTGACAGCTCTTCCAGAGGTCCTGAGTTCAATTCCCAGCAACCACAGGGTGGCTCACAACCATCTGTCATGGGATCTGATGCCCTCTTCTGGTGTGTCTGAAGACAGCTGCGGTGTACTCATATACATAAAATAAATAAATAATTCTAAAAAAAACAGAAAGCAAACAAACAAAAATAATAAAGTCTTTACTAAAGAAGAAAAGGTAACCAGCAAAGGAAAATGAACTGGTGCATGTGTCACCGGAGCCATCGGGTGATGTCATGATGTTCTTCAAATTGCACAAGTGTGTGGACCCAAAATAGAGGGAAAGGAACACCCTCCTGGAACTCCACACCGGCCCTGCTTCTCTCCACGGCACCAGGAAGGACACTGCCTGCAGGTCCCCTACAGCAAAAGGCAGCTCTGAGAGCAGCCTGGAAGGATAGTCAGGACCCAAGGCCAGCCAGGCCTGTTCCGCTGTCAGCTCCAGCTTGATTAATTCCCAGGAAGCTTTCTTTACTCTTGCTCCACCCTCCTCCCAGCTCAAGATGCCAAATGCTGCCAGCTGTCCTGGGACAGGAGGAGCATTTGATCTGTTATCCCTGAATGCCGGCGTGGCAGAAGCTAACTTCGTCTGCGCTGACTGACCGACTTCTCCTCATCCCAGCCTTGGCTGCAGTGCCAGGCATCAAAGACGAAGGAGCTCACCCCTGCACGGCTGGCTCCAAGTGTGGGGCTTCAGTTGGTATCGAAATCACAGGCTGCCACTTGCACCGCCTGAGAAAGACACAGAAAATAATTTATTCACAGGCAAAATGCTTCTCTGGGATGCAGCCACACTGTAAAATCGCATGCAGCCACTAAAGGGAAATAGATATATACACTGGGAAGTATTTAAGGAATAGAATTCCAATGTGAAGGGGGGGGGGAGAGGGGGACGACAAGATACAATGTGATTTCAAGTTTATAAAAATAAACAAAGAGACTAAAAAAGGCAGAAAAGAGACCATCTTTCATTTCCAGGCAGGGAAAAAAAAACACAGATAATGTGTTTCCTCTTCTATGCTTTTCTATAGTTTCTGGATTTTTTTCCTCTATACACATAGATATTCCTTGGATAACATGCAATTAAACGTTTGTTTTAAAAAACAAAGCATAGGGGCTGGAGAGATGACTCAGTGGTTAAGAGCACTGTCTGCTCTTCCTGAGGAGCTGGTTCAGTTCCCAACACCCATCTCAGGTGGCTGACAACTATAATTCCAGTTCCAAGGAGCCTGGTGTCCTCTTTTGACCTTCCTGGAACCAGGCATGCATGTGGTACACATGCATACTAACGGGCAAGCAAACACCCACACAAAACAGATAAATCTTTAAAGGCAGAAGATGCTTTGATGGCACAGGTTCATTCCCACCACACGGCAAGTGGGTACCACGATAGTCAAGTAGAATCTGCTCCATTCACTATAACA